TTTGCCTCTGCAAGCAGTCCACGGATGAAAGGTATTTTGTTGTTTGTTGCTGGCTTTAGACCCTCTATATTTGCAAAGAAGAATGTCATCGGACTGGTGGTATTGTTGGTACTGGGGGGAGGGATTTTTTTTCCGGCATTAGTATCTGTATCTGTTGGTTTGGAGTGGAGGCCATCGACTGTGGTTCCACTCCAGGAATGACTGGATTTGGTGTACGATTTCTGCCATTTCCTGCCAGTTTTTTTTCCTTCCTGGCACTAAAAAGCCTCTCCCTCTTGAGTGGCTGTGGCTACCCAGGTTTTCCCATGGCCTGGATGTTTTCTATCTTTTTGTCCCCTTCAGATGGTGTGCCTGGCAATTTAAGTTATAGCACAGTCTTTCCTGTACTGAAGAGGTACACATTTCAGGGTGAAAAAGCTTACAGGAAGGGAGTTTGCATTTTCCTGTTGTCATATGGGCATGGCATTTTCTAGGGTGGTCATAGTTGCATGTCCCGTCTGTTTTTCCAGATTTCCCATGTCTGCAGATACCAAGTGTATAGTATGTGCACAGGCTTGGTTTCTGTTTGCCTTTGGTTTCTGTGACTGTATTCCCTGTTGGTGCATGTTTCCCTGTCTTATTCCTATCCTCCCTAGCACTAACAATGGAGCTCCCACCAGTTGTTTTTGGTAATATATCCTCACTATTGCTAGTGGAGTCCTCTTGTTTGCTATTTCCTGTGGTATTTCTAGTTTGCAATATTGGTTTTATCTTATCTTTGACTACACTTGTTTCCCTACTACGGCTCCTGTCCCCTATGAGGTCATTTATATGTATTCCTTCCTGCGTATAATTCCCGACTACCTGGACAAAATCTCCAGCTTCACCATTACTGTCTCCCAGGACAGCGCCTCCAGCTTCACCATTACTGTCTCCCAGAACAGCACCTCCAGCTTCACCATTACTGTCTCCCAGGACAGCCCCTCCAGCTTCACCATTACTGTCTCCCAGGACAGCACCTCCAGCTTCACCATTACTGTCTCCCAGGACAGCACCTCCAGCTTCACCATTACTGTCTCCCAGGACAGCACCTCCAGCTTCACCATTACTATCTCCCAGGACAGCACTATCAGCCCCACATTTACTGACTACCAGGACATCACCTCCAGCCTTACAGTTTCTGACTACATGGCCAGTATCAAGGGCAATACCATTCAGCCCAGACTTTTTATGTTCCAATCTGTTGTAGAAAGCTTCCAGGTTGTCTATGAAAGCAGCTTTGATGTTATCCTCTTTTAATACCCTTGTGATTTTAGTCCACAGATTTTCCTCATTTGGGCATACCCAAAAACACTTCCCTGTTTTAATACTGCTTGTAGCTAGTTCTTGGATATCTGCACAAGGGGCGTGACACCAATTTCCACAAAAATGACAATTTATCCATGTGGAAGCCCGTTTGTTTGATTGACTGCAGACTACACAGAGCTTCATAATGATTTGAATGGTTGATTTACTGTAATTTTACTAGCAACCTCTTGAATACTCTATTAAAAAACTCCTTAAATGAAGCCCTAGCTATTTGTATTTCTATTTCTAACTGTACTTGTATATTGGACAGCTTACCATGTACGTAGTAGTAGTAGTAGTAGTAGTAGTAGTAGTAGTAGTAACAGTATAGTAGTTGTGGAAATTTATTTGGTCCCTAAAGTTCCACAGGACTGATCCAGCATGGCCGTATGGGACGGCTGAGCTGGGCGGCCCTTAAAACCCTCCCAAACAAACAGCATTCTCTCTGGTCGGTGATGGATTCTTGGTAGGCATGTATTTAATTTATAGATTTACTCTTCAGGGAAGGAGTAGGTAGTTTTACTGGTAGTACACTAATATTAGGATTATTGAGACAACTGTAGATAATAATAATGTAGACCTAAGACCTTAACATATGTAGTAATAGGCCGATAATGTAGGCAAACACTAGGATAAGTTAGCTAGGGAGAACTGGCAGCCCTAGCTTGAATGACGAGGCGAGGGTCACAAAGACAGAATAGCGTCCTTCTTAAGACAGACACCAACTGGACAAGACGTGCCGTGATCAGCAGACGGCGCCCCCACGTGTCTTCACATCTGAGACCTGGGGAAATCTGGTAGAGGCACCTCGATGTACCGTAGATGACCTCCGTCGGGCCCATACAGTAAGACAAGACCTCCACTTTTATCTTATAGATTTCTGGCCAGTGTCTGGGGAGATTGTGAGTGAGTTGATCTGTGGGCCTGTGTTGCAGCCGGCAGAGCATGCCCAGTAAGTACCAGTGTCTCAGAGCAGTCTGGAAGCTAGTGTCTGAGTCTGCATAGTTATACTAGGGGATACATACCCTCTTGGATATAGGAATTTCTGAGGTGCAGGCAGGACACTAATTACGATTGAATATTGCAGGAATTAAGGCTCCCGGTTGCACGTGGTTTCTGAGGGGAAGTCCAAAGGGGCTAAAGCTAGGCTTAGGAAGTTGAAGATCAGGATATATGCTGCAACACCAAGTAAGTTAGTCCTTTATACGTGCATGCAGGCGAGTTTTCTTGCAACATCAATCATTTGTGAAAATCTGTCCTATAAGCCACTTGTGAGGGGCTGAGGTACCCACCTCAGCCAGGGTAGGCGACTCACTTGGAGGCAGTCCACACAAAATTTTCACAGTAGTAATAGTAGTAGCAGTAGTAGTAATAGCAGTAGCAATATAGTAATAGTAGTAGCAGTAGTAGTAATAGCAGTAGCAATATAGTAATAGTAGTAGCAGTAGTAGTAATAGAAGTAATAGTAGTAGTAGTAGTAGAAATAGTAGTAATAATAATAGCAGTAGTAGTAGTAGTAGCAATAGTAATAAAAGTAGTAATAGTAACAGTATAGTAGCAATAGTAGTCGCAGTAGTAGTAGTAGTAATAATAGTAACAGTAGTAGTAGTAATAATAGTAATAGTAGCAGTAGTAGTAATAGTAGCAGTAGTAGTAATAGAACTAATAGCAGCAGTAGTAGTAATAGTAGCAGTAGTAGTAATAGAACTAATAGTAGTAGTAGTAATAACAGTAGCAGTAATAGTAATAATAGTGGCAGTAGTAGTAGCAGCAGGAATAGTAGAAACAGTAGTAAGACTAGTAGTAGCAATATTAAGTTTTATTGTTATCATTATATTTACGGAAAATCGTTAAGCCCATGAAAGTCACAATTCGGCAAACGGGAGGTTAGATTTTATCTAAGAACGAGAGAACAACTCCAATTCCTCGGATCAAGACACGTTTGCCATGATAAATTAGCTACATGTACCAGACATGGAGATCTCTAATCTGAAGACATTTCGCAAATCATTTCAATACAGAACTCATTGACTGGAGACAACAGATGAGGTAATCAGTCCCTCAGTCGTGAAGGTGTTGACTATCGTAGCCTTAATGAATGTGAAGCATAGGCTAGATGATGCACGTTTATATACTTGAGTCAGATATCGTGCAGCAGCTGAAAGCAATGCCACCGATAGGCGGGGCCCACTAGTGGAAATAAATCATACCCTGGTGCTGGGATAGAGGTTAGCAAACAGGATATAGAAAATATCCTCTGTACCCAAGAGGAGTCATCAAGACAATTTCCGTTAACCTTTCTTCGTAGGATATTCCCCTTAGCTCTGGAACTAGTCTCGTTGCAAACCTTTGCACTTTCTCTAAATTCTTGACGTGCTTGACCAGGTGTGGGTTCCAAACAGGTGCTGCATACTCCAGTATGGGCCTGACGTACACGGTGCACAATCTCTCCAGCGAGTCCTTACTGAGGTTTCGGAACGCTATTCTCAGGTTTGCCAGAAACCCAAATGCTGCAGCAGTTATCTCGTTGATGTGCGCCTCAGGAGATGTGCTCGGTATTATGCTCACCCCAAGATCCTTTTCCTTAAGTGAGATTTGCAGTCTTTGGCCCTCTAGCCTATACTCTGTCTGTGGTCTTATTTGCCCTTCTCTGTTCTTCATGACTTTGCATTTGGCGGGGATAAATTCGAGGAGCCAGTTGTTGGACCAAGCTTGCAGCCTGTCCAGGTCTCTGTCGTCCTGCCTGATCCTCATCCGATTTAATTCTCATTAACTTCACATCATCTGCGAACAGGGATACTTCTGAGTCTATCCCTTCCGTCATGTCATTCACATATACCAAAAATAGTACTGGTCCTAGGACAGACCCCTGTGGAACCCCGCTCGTCACAGGCGCCCACTCTGACACCTCGTCACGTACCATGACTCATTGCCTCCCTGTCAGGAAGTCTCAGATACATTGCAGTGCACTTCCTGTTATACGTGCCTGATTCTCTAGCTTTTGCACTAATCTCTTGTGAGGAACTGTGTCGAAGGCCTTCTTGCAGTCCAAGAAAATACAATCTACCTACCCCTGTCTCTCGTGTCTTCATTTACTTTGTCATAAAACTCCAGTAGGTTTGTGACACAGGATTTTCCTTCTCTGAATCCGTGCTGGTTGTCGTTTATAAGCTTGTTCCTCATGATAATCTTCTCCATGACTTTGCATACTATACACGCCAGTGACACTGGTCTACGATGTGGTACGGTGAGCAGAGTACTGTAGCAGGGGCGCCACGAGTACATTGAGATACAACACAATAAGTGTGTGGGGTCCAAGACTGTTCTACTGCCTCCCAGCATACATAAGGGGGATTACCAATAGACCCCTGGCTGTCTTCAAACTGGCACTGGACAGGCTGTGATTCGCACGTCAGTTTGCGTGCGGCCAGCAGTAGCAGCCTGGTTGATTAGACCATGATCCACCATGAGGCCTGGTCTCAGACCGAGCAGCGGGGGCGCTGACCCCCGAAACCCTCTCCAGGTAAACTCCAGGTAAGTTCGATAGATGTAGACAGAATCCGGGAGGACCCAAGCTTTGAGTGGTTATAGTATTGTATGGTAGGTGCAGCTGATAGACTGTGCTAGGAGAGGACACCAGGTTTACTGTCTGACTATGGTATTGTGTGACACAGGTGCGGTGGATGCAGACGGCACCTGGAGAGGATCCCAGTTTTTTCTCTGTGGCACTGGACGGCCGCCTGACACAGTGGACTGTACATGCGTCGTCGCTCCATCATACTGACATTCTCGACTTCAACATCGTGGACCAGCTGGCTGCAAATTTGCCTGCACATGACAGAGAACTGCTGGAGGGTACATCCTTTTTCGTATTATTTTTATGTAATACACATTTCCCTAGATTATTTATAAATATTCCTGCCATACATCGACAACATATAAAAACATTGGGTAAGAAACTGTATGTGTAATTAGCTAGTTTGATATCCTTATTACGAATCTCATTTCAATCCCTTTGGAGGCAGTCCAAAGATTATAGTTACATATTGAGCACGGGACTGAGCCCTATTATTTTTTTTTAGATAAGTTTTTTATATATTAACGAATTATTAACTTATCTACAGACACAAACCAGTACCAAAAACTTGACAATGTAACTTACATGTTATATAATAAAAACTGTATTGTATTCACTACTTTTTCTAGAGCTTTGCAAATCTCAATTAAAATAAAATATTGCAAATTAATAAAAATTATAAATTTAATTAGAAGTCATTGAGACTTGAGAATAAGAGGTAATTAAATTTTATCCAAAGAAAAGAATATTTTCACCGGTATTAAAGAATATTTTCACCGGTATTAAAGAATATTTTCACCAGTATTAAAGAATATTTTCACCGGTATTAAAGAATATTTTCACCAGTATTAAAGAATATTTTCACCAGTATTAAAGAATATTTTCACCAGTATTAAAGAATATTTTCACCAGTATTAAAGAATATTTTCACCGGTATTAAAGAATATTTTCACCGGTATTAAAGAATATTTTCACCGGTATTAAAGAATATTTTCACCAGTATTAAAGAATATTTTCACCGGTATTAAAGAATATTTTCACCAGTATTAAAGAATATTTTCACCGGTATTAAAGAATATTTTCACCAGTATTAAAGAATATTTTCACCGGGATTAAAGAATATTTTCACCAGTATTAAAGAATATTTTCACCGGTATTAAAGAATTTTCACCAGTATTAAAGAATATTTTCACCAGTATTAAAGAATATTTTCACCGGTATTAAAGAATATTTTCACCGGTATTAAAGAATATTTTCACCGGTATTAAAGAATATTTTCACCGGTATTAAAGAATATTTTCACCAGTATTAAAGAATATTTTCACCAGTATTAAAGAATATTTTCACCGGTATTAAAGAATATTTTCACCAGTATTAAAGAATATTTTCACTGGTATTAAAGAATATTTTCACCAGTATTAAAGAATATTTTCACCAGTATTAAAGAATATTTTCACCAGTATTAAAGAATATTTTCACCAGTATTAAAGAATATTTTCACCAGTATTAAAGAATATTTTCACCGGTATTAAAGAATATTTCACCGGTATTAAAGAATATTTTCACCGGTATTAAAGAATATTTTCACCAGTATTAAAGAATATTTTCACCAGTATTAAAGAATATTTTCACCGGTATTAAAGAATATTTTCACCGGTATTAAAGAATATTTTCACCAGTATTAAAGAATATTTTCACCGGTATTAAAGAATATTTTCACCGGTATTAAAGAATATTTTCACCAGTATTAAAGAATATTTTCACCGGTATTAAAGAATATTTTCACCAGTATTAAAGAATATTTTCACCGGTATTAAAGAATATTTTCACCGGTATTAAAGAATATTTTCACCAGTATTAAAGAATATTTTCACCGGTATTAAAGAATATTTCACCAGTATTAAAGAATATTTTCACTGGTATTAAAGAATATTTTCACCAGTATTAAAGAATATTTTCACCGGTATTAAAGAATATTTTCACCGGTATTAAAGAATATTTTCACCAGTATTAAAGAATATTTTCACTGGTATTAAAGAATATTTTCACCAGTATTAAAGAATATTTTCACCGGTATTAAAGAATATTTTCACCGGTATTAAAGAAATATTTTCACCAGTATTAAAGAATATTTTCACCAGTATTAAAGAATATTTTCACCGGTATTAAAGAATATTTTCACCAGTATTAAAGAATATTTTCACTGGTATTAAAGAATATTTTCACCAGTATTAAAGAATATTTTCACCGGTATTAAAGAATATTTTCACCAGTATTAAAGAATATTTTCACCGGTATTAAAGAATATTTTTCACTGGTATTAAAAAAATATTTTCACCAGTATTAAAGAATATTTTCACCAGTATTAAAGAATATTTTCACCAGTATTAAAGAATATTTTCACCGGTATTAAAGAATATTTTCACCGGTATTAAAGCTCCTCTATAAGATTTCGTTCGGATTTTTAACCCCGAAGGGTTAGCCACCCTGGAAAACCCAAGAAAGTCAGTGCGTCATCGAGGACTTATTTCCACTGTGGTCCTGAGTCTTGTCCCCCAGGATGCGACCCACACCAGTCGTCTAACACCCAGGTACCCGTTTGCTGTTAGGTGAACAAGACAACAGGTGTAAGGAAACACGTCGAAATGTTTCCACCCCGCTGGGAATCGAACCCGGGCCCTCCGCGTGTGAAGCGTGAGCTTTGAAAGCCAGGCCACGAATTAAAATTAACTAATATAGAGATCTTTAAAACAATATTCCACTGATTTGTAAATTATGAGATAATCTCTCCTCTTAACCATAAACTTCTCGTTTTATATAGTTTTCCTCTTGTAACATAATCTAACCTAACTTAAAAATGGGTTGGCAACCATAAGTGACTGTGACATAATTACAGTATCGGGAAAATGGGGTTTAAAAGAAGTACTTAATTCAGACTGTAATAACATTATTGTAAACAAGTCAAGAAACGGGTGGTGTTTGAACCCACGGCTGAGTCCTGAAACTCACAGGTCAGTGCGTTAACCACTGGGCCAGCTGGTTATAATTAGATTGATGACTCACTTCTGTGATTAGTCATTTAGAGTAAGAAATACCGGAGGCTCGTTTTTCCATCTGTATTTTTAGTTAAAATATTTTAATTTTAGTGGTAAACAGAAATTAGTTCGAAAAATCGTAAAATATCATCAGTTTCGATCAAAGTGTAATAATCGAAATAATTTAGCTAAAAAATGAATTATGTTAGAAAATGTCCCCTCGAGGGAGGTTCCTTGACGCTGGTGATGGGCTCTTGATCTAGGGAATTGGATCTGTGCTCCATTTCCCTGAATTGAGCCTGAATGCCTCCCGTCCCCCCCTCCCACTTGCGCTGTATAATCCTACGGGTTTAACGCTCCCCCATGATTATAACAATTAGAAAATACCTACAACTACTATGAAAAATCGATCGAAAAATGATAATTTACCATTTTTCGGACTGTTTCCTGATTACTAATTACATTAAAATATTTCGACAAAGAAAAATCATTATTTTAAAGACAAAATAAAAATCTCTAAGATTATATTATACATAACACTAATTTACTTGGAGAATAGCTTATTACCTGGAGAGAGTTTACCTGGAGAGAGTTCCGGGGGTCAACGCCTTTAAGGAATGTTTTTACCATAAGGGTGTTATTACAGGTGTAGCGACGTGTATGGCATTCCGTCCAGATGATGAGAGTGTGTTGTTGGTGGGCGTGAACACGGGCGTAGTGTTCCAGTGTTCCACCACCTCAGCTACCCACTCAATCTTCCAGTACCCCGCCCACACCTCCCCGGTCAGGAGGGTGATGTGGAACGCTCACTATCACAAGGTCTTCCTCTCCTGCTCCGTTGACTGGACCATCAAAATATGGCTCCAGTTCTCCAGGTCAGTTCTCAGTATTTATAAACAATTCATGGGAAGCACTGTATAACACCTGACGAATACAAGGTAATCTGGCTTGATCCAAGGAAGAAGATAACCCTAGTTTCCTGGATCAAGGAATGGCATGGTGGATCAGAGCCTCATCAACCAGGCTGTTACTGTTGGCCGCACGCAACCCGACGTACGAACTACAACCCGGCTTGTCAGAGCATTTTGGGCAAATTAGGTCGTCACCAGTCGACTAACACTCAGGTACCTATTTTACTGACTGGTTAACAGGTCAGCAGGGGTCTTAAGGAAACATGTCCTAAAGTTTCCACCCATACCGGAGATCGAACCACGAACTTCAGTATGAGAGTTATCACTCGAGCTAAGGGATGTCTCAATGTTTACACCTCAATGTTTACACGATGTAACTCACCAGTAAAGACATCAATGAACAGAAATTGATTATACAAGACATAATGTAAAGAAGGGAGAATAAATTCACTATAAAAACGTAATACATGTTTGTGATAATTCACAGGATTTTTGGTGATTCCAGCTGTGAGTATGTGAAAATAAGTCCACCTAAATTGAACAGTCTCCACCTCACCACAAACTGTAGCATAGTAGAACTGCAGAGACTGCAGCTCTACACCAACTGTGAGCAACCCACAGTGGTGTAACCACTAGGAAAACGAATATTAGATGCCACAGTTTGTGGCATCTGTAACTCTCCATTGCTATGGTAGGTGGGAGAGTAACCTATTAGAGTGGTGCTGGCTCAGTGGTTAGGCTGCTGGAATGCCATTTTCACAGACCCATTTCGAATCTCCGAGAAACATGTGGTAGGTAGGCTAATCTTAGGCTCCTTTTTGCATGGAATGACCAGTGTTTTCCTCAGAGACTCGGGGAAATATATAAGGGTGTCTTACTATGAGTGAAACATAATTCTTCATCCTGACAGTGCTGGTAATAGAAGATATTGTTGGTGGTGCTGAAGATAGGTAAGTGACTCACTATCTTGGTGGTGCCTCAGGTCACCACTGGTTGTGCTGGACCTCGGAGGGGCGGTAGCAGGAGCCACCTGGTCACCATACAGCAGCAGCGTCTTCGTGGCAGTAACAGACGAAGGTCGTGTACACGTGTATGACCTCTTCCTGAGACGGTGTCGTGCGATGTGCGTACAAAGTTTAGTTCAGCGCAGGCGCATTGCAGCAACTTGTGTCGCCTTCAACCCCTTCCACCCCATCATCCTAGTGGGAGGCGAGAAGTGAGTAACCCCCCCCCCGTCTGTTCCATCCAGGCTTAGATAAATTACATGATTCAGATTTATAATTGTAATTATGGGGAAGCGCTAAACCCATAGGATTATACAGCTCCTGTCGGGGGGATGGAAGGTATTCAGGCTTAATTCAGGGAACTGGGGCATAGATCCAATTCTCTAGATCAAGAGCCCCTCACCAGCATCAAAGAACCTCCGCTGAAGGGTACATGATTCAGAGTCATTTGCAATTTCAACAGCTCTTCCAGATTTGCATTTACTATTACCAGATCAGAAAAAAATAATTACAGTTACTTATTTATTTTTATTATTTTTGTCATTTACTTCAGATTTTACAAATGTTAAAATCATTGCTAATAAGAAGCAAACATTTTTACTTTACAAATATCGGTTCTGTTTCTTGAAAATCCCGGAAAGTAGAATTCTCCAACTGGTTACATTAGCAATTATGGACAAGGTAATTATAATCGAAAAATTAACATGTTATTAGAAAATGGAAGAACCTACGTGCCTCTTAAAGGTCTTTCCCGTTCCATCATCCTGGTGGAGGGAGAAATGTAAGTATCCATCTATCATTCTAGTGTGGGAGAGAAATACCGCCATCATCTCTGTCGTGGAAGGAGTAATTGGTGGTAGACAGAAGCACTGACCCTGTCTTTCCTGGTAGGGGAAGGATGAGAGTTGAACAGAAGTTCATACTCCCCCAACCAGTCCCGTCATCCCATGTTCAGTTGCTGAACATGTTCCATTGACTAATATTCTTGCAACGCAACGTTATGATCCCTGGAACATAGTCGAGTTTAAACCCTTCCCGGGATATTAGTGCATGCAAACGTAAGAACAGAGCAGCACTACAGTAGGACTTCTAGCCTATGATAAGCAAGTCTTACTCATACCCAATTCAACGATGCTACTTAGTAGTTTATTCCACTTATCCACGACTCTTAAATCAATGCTTATCTATATTCTAAATCTTAATTGGTCCAGCTTGAATCTCTTTGTATCCTATGCCCATCAGATATTTTCAGCGCTTTTATTATTTATATTATAATTATTTATCGTTTTTTTCCACTAAAATATTTCAGTCCTCTCCTAACTCTTCTCCTTCCAGAGAGTGAGAACTCAGTACTGTCAACCTGTCCTCGCAGGAAAGGTTCTTATGCATGTGAATATCTTTGTCATCCTTCTCTGCATATTATTCAACTCATTTGTATCCATTCTGTAATAAATTAAGGATTAAATGAACTCTTACCAAGATATAAAGTTGATTTATATCCTTGGGACTTCCATTATTTACTTTAACTCTTTTGATGAATACTTTTTATTTGCACAGTTCTCTTGACTTTAGATTTCTGCTGTACAGGTCTTTGAAGATGTTTATTGCATTTGGTTTAACATTTACATTATTTAGTTAATAGGTGTACGCTAGTTATTTTCTGTAACCAAAGTTAAAACCTTATGATTATCCACACCAAAATGCATCTGATGCTTTTTTGACCACAGTATCAACCATTCCAAATAATTTCCTTCTGAAAATTTATTCTTCGGTTTTCTGTGTATTCCGCAAATATACTTATTTAGCTATTTTTTTCCACAACAGTGTCATTTATGTAGATTGATAGCAATATGAGACTTACTACTGACCCTTGTAGAACACCACTTGTAATGGGTCACCATTCACTGATTTCTCATTATATATGCAAACTCCATTACCTATTAGCCAGCTATGCCTCTATCTAGGATTGAATGTCTATTCAAATACCCTGTATAGCTATCTTCTTTTATGGGGACTCATTTCAAAAGCCTTATTGAAATTAATATGCTCAATGTAGGCCTTAGACAGGGAACTGCGATGTCACCATGGTTGTTTAACATATTTATAGACGAGTTTGTAAAAGAAGTGAATGTTGGACCACTATGACATGGTCTTGGATGAAGATTGAGACACTTATGCAACACATGGTCTTGGATGAAGATTGAGACACTTATGCAACACATGGTCTTGGATGAAGATTGAGACACTTATGCAACACATGGTCTTGGATGAAGATTGAGACACTTATGCAACACATGGTCTTGGATGAAGATTGAGACACTTATGCAACACATGGTCTTGGATGAAGATTGAGACACTTATGCAACACATGGTCTTGGATGAAGATTGAGACACTTATGCAACACATGGTCATGGATGAAGATTGAGACACTTACGCAACACATGGTCTTGGATGAAGATTGAGACACTTATGCAACACATGGTCTTGGATGAAGATTGAGACACTTATGCAACACATGGTCTTGGATGAAGATTGAGACACTTATGCAACATATGGTCTTGGATGAAGATTGAGACACTTACGCAACACATGGTCTTGGATGAAGATTGAGACACTTATGCAACACATGGTCTTGGATGAAGATTGAGACACTTATGCCACACATGGTCTTGGATGCACTGAAGGGCAAATAAAATGCAGGTGTAGTATACACAGACTATCCGACTATCTGCCTACATCATGTATTGTAAAATATGTTACAGTCGTTTGGTGGTACTAAACCCATAGGAATAAGTTTTGATCCAAGAAAGGACAGGGAAGCTCCACTTCTTGGATCAAGATTCATCACCAGTGAATAAGCAATTTCCTTGAATGGATATATAATAAAAAAAAATTGGTAAAGTGGTGGCCTAACATTAGTGAGAATGGCAGTATGACCCCAGTGCACTTATTCTGACACTTAATGTATATTCTTCCTACAGAGGTCACCTGGTGGCTATGAAGCTCTCACCCAACCTCAGGAAGCCCCACAAGGATGCCAAGGGTGCCGACGCCCAGCAGCTGCAGGAAATCGAGCTGTGCAAGATGGAGCGACTCATCGCGACTGCTAACAAGGGTTGAAATAGACTGTAACAGCCTCTTAATGTTTACCTGTGGTATCTCTCAGGACAGCTGAGTCTGACAAGTTCACAAATTAACGTTTATGAACTGTGTCAGAATGTCAAACATGCCGAGGTAAAAAGAACAGATTATTTTTTATAGGATTAGTCCCCCCCGGGGCGCTACAACCACCTAGGGTTTGGCTTCTTTCCTATGGGGTCTTCGGATCCTCTTTCCAGGGATATGACCAACAAAAGTCGGCTTACTCCTAGGAACATGAAAAGGCTGTTACTTGGGCAATGTTTTGCTAGGTACACAGTAAGAGAAAATGGGCCACTTCCCTTTCTTACCCTACCACCCTCCACCATCCCATCCTTTTCCTATATTTCTATCCTTACCCATCCTTCTTCCTTCCCCATCTTACCCATCCTTCTTCCTTCCCCATCTTACCGAAGCTTTGGTCATACAAGTTCAAAGTAGAAGACAGACATGCCCATACATTATACCTTGATTCAATAGGCCGAGAGTCGTATGTTCTTCCTCTGAGGTTTCTTATATTTTCTCCCTGAATTTTGTACATATGTGCGTAAGTGGTGCTCCTGTACATACATTCTGAACCATTTATCTCGGAATGTCATATGTGTCACAAGCCTAAACAGCATTATTAACTACAGTGAGAAACGGGAGATGTTTATAGTTAAAAAAATTTGCAACAGGCGCATAAAGTGTATTTATCTGCTTGATATTAAATAAGTACAAAGAAAAGATAATAGTTTATGTTAAGATTATGTCCGAAAGATTGCGATACATGTCCTCATTACTTGTACAGCCTGTTGTTACAGCCTACTTGTACAGATTTACGCAGGTTTCGGACATTATCGCCCATGCAATCCGGTTTCGGACTAGGCCTCTTGAATAATGCTCTGGTTAACTAAGCTGTTCGTGCTAGCTAACCGTATTCCTTCGAAGGCACACTGTGTAAGTGTATATTGTAACTCTGATATATCGTCTGGTTCATGTTAAGTCAGGGTACAGGAACTAGGTTTGAGTCATAAGTTAGAAACTACAAACTGCTACAATCTCAGGAATAACGATGAACACGTCATTAACAACTGTGTCAACAATAACACCTCTAACAAACATTACACTAGTAACAACTCTATCTAAAGTACCTTTGGAACAATTATAACAGCAACAGTATTTGGAAAATCAACAGAAACGATTACAAAAACATTTGTATTGAAATCAACATTTGCAATAATTGTATCAACTGAAATAATAACTGCAACATCTATAATTGTGTTAAACTTGCAATAACAATTGCAGCACTTGCAATATATGAAACAACAACAGTTCAACTATAATTGTATTAATTATAACAACTAATGTATTGCATGAAACTACAATTCCAACAACTGTAGTAATAACAACAATTACATAATTTTCAACAATAAATGAACAAATCGACAATATACAACCCTTGTATAAAATTCAACAAATCCTGCAGCAACCGAAGAAATTTCAACAACAGTAAGACAAAAACAGTAATAGTTGCACAAATTTCAACAATACTTATCTGTGCAACAACAACAACTGCATAATTTGTGTATAAAGTTCAACAACAACTGTATAAGGTTGCAATACAGGAATTACAACAACTTCGACAGTAATAACTAATGCAATTGCATCACTTGCAAAAAGTGTAATAAATATACTTGTGTCAGTTGCAATAACATATATGAGATTACATGCAACGTCAATCACATCAACTATTCTAACAATAACCACTTTTGTATCAGCTGCAGCACCAATAATTATAAAAATATAACAATTATAACAACCCTAAAAATATAACAGCTATAACAATTATAAAAACAGTTGCCCACACTAGGTTTCACTCAATATTTTTTTAAGAAGAGTGATCAATATCCTATGTAAACTACACTTGTAAGACAAAACAAGTTATTTCTTAAGCAAACGCTGTTTTATTGACCCGACTGAAAAATAAAATGAATATTTTTAATACCATAGCCACAGCAGTAATGCCATAGTAACCTGGAGTTTACCTGGAGAGAGTTCCGGGGGTCAATGCCCCCGCGGCCCGGTCTGTGGCCAGGCCTCCTGGTGGATCAGAGCCTGATCAACAAGGCTGTTACTGCTGGCTGCACGCAAACCAACGTACGAGCCACAGCCCAGCTGGTCAGGAACCGACTTTAGGTGCTTGTCCAGTGCCAGCTTGAAGACTGCCAGGGGTCTGTTGGTAATCCCCCTTATGTATGCTGGGAGGCAGTTGAACAGTCTCGGGCCCCTGGCACTTATTGTATTGTCTCTTAACGTGCTAGTGACACCCCTGCTTTTCATTGGGGGATGTTGCATCGTCTGCCAAGTCTTTTGCTTTCGTAGTGAGTGATTTTCGTGTGCAAGTTCGGTACTAGTCCCTCTAGGATTTTCCAGGTGTATATAATCATGTATCTCTCCCGCCTGCATTCCAGTAATTGAGGTGTTTTATCTCCGTTATGCACGCCATGAAGGTTTTCTGTACATTTTCTAGGTCAGCAATTTCACCTGCCTTGAAAGGTGTTGTTAGTGTACAGCAATATCCCAGCCTAGATAGAACAAGCGACCTGAAGAGTGTCATCATGGGCTTGGCATCCCTAGTTTTGAAGGTTCTCATTATCCATCCTGTCATTTTTCTAGCAGCTGCGATTGATACAATGTTATGGTCCTTGAAGGCGAGATCCTCCGACATGATCACTCCCAGGTCTTTGAAGTTGGTTTTTCGCTCTATTTTGTGGCCGTTATTCGTTTTATACTGTGATGAAGTTTTAATTTCCTCGTGTTTACCATATCGGAGTAATTAAAATTTCTCATCGTTGAACTTCATTTTGTTTTCTGCAGCCCATTGAAAGATTTGGTTGATGTCCGCCTGGAGCCTTGCAGTGTCTGCAATGGAAGACACTGTCATGCAGAATCGGGTGTCATCTGCAAAGGAAGACACGGTGCTGTGGCTGACATCCTTGTCTATGTCAGATATGAGGATGAGAAACAAGATGGGAGCGAGTACTGTGCCTTGTGGAACAGAGCTTTTCACCGTAGCCGCCTCGGACTTTACTCTGTTGACTACTACTCTTTGTGTTCTGTTTGTGAGGAAATTATAGATCCATCTACCAACTTTTCCTGTTATTCCTTTAGCACGCATTTTGTGTGCTATTACGCCATGGTCACACTTGTCGAAGGCTTTTGCAAAGTCTGTATATATTACATCTGCATTCTTTTTGTCTTCTAGTGCATCTAGGACCTTGACGTAATGATCCAATAGTTGAGACAGACAGGAGCGACCTGCTCTAAACCCATGTTGCCCTGGGTTGTGTAACTGATGGGTATCTAGATGGGTGGCGATCTTGCTTCTTAGGACCCTTTCAAAGATTTTTATGATATGGGATGTTAGTGCTATCGGTCTGTAGTTCTTTGCTATTGCTTTACTGCCCCCTTTGTGGAGTGGGGCTATGTCTGTTGTTTTTAGTAACTGTGGGACGTGTCCATGCTCCCTCTCCATAGGATGGTAAAAGCTCGTGATAGGGGCTTCTTGCAGTTCTTGATGAACATGGAATTCCATGAGTCTGGCCCTGGGGCAGAGTGTATGGGCATGTCATTTATCGCCTGTTCGAAGTCATTTGGCGTCAGGATAACATCAGATAGGCTTGTGTTATCCAAATTCTGTGGCTCTCTCATAAAAAATTAATTTTGATCTTCGACTCTCAGTCTGGTTAGCGGCTTTCTAAAAACTGAGTCATATTGGGACTTGAGTAGCTCACTCATTTCCTTGCTGTCATCTGTGTAGGACCCATCTTGTTTAAGTAGGGGCCCAATACTGGACGTTGTTCTCGACTTTGATTTGGAATAGGAAAAGAAATACTTGGGTTTCTTTCGATTTCATTTATGGCTTTTAGTTCTTCCCGCGATTCCTGACTCCTATAAGATTCCTTTAGCTTAAGTTCGATGTTTGCTATTTCTCTGACCAGTGACTCCCTACGCATTCAAGATATATTGGCCTCTTTTAGCCCAAAACAATGAAATTATTATTGCTGATAAATTATTATTAATTTTGATAATTTATCAGTAATAATTATTTCATTTTTCGTTTTTATTGTGACTATGGTATTAGTAATATAAATGTTCTTTTATTATATTTTTGGGAAGCATTAAACCACCAGAGGACAAGTGAACATGTAATGGCACGAGAGAATGACACTATGGTAAAGGGGTCATGCTTTCTCAGAAATATTAATGGAATAGTGATGAAATAAGACATTTATTTAGAAAATTAATGTTCATTTGAAAAATACACTGCAATGATATAACAGATAATTGATTTAATAAGAGATATGATTATTCTTTGCTTTTATAAGCATTCCTTCACGCTTTGGCATAGAATCGATCAATATTATTATAATCAAAAAGAAGCGCTAAGCCACAAGGGCTGAATCGATCAATAATGAACATATTTTAGCAAGTTTTTCAACGTGGAACCAGGTTCTATTAACAGCTGCAATAAACTTCTGCTCAACAGAACAATACTGTTTTGCGATCCTGTGTCTGGTTATCGACTATAGAGTCTCAGTTGGGTTGAGGTCAGGAGAGTTTCCAGGACAATTTAGAATGCTTAGCCCACTCAATTTGAAGAATGTCAGCATTTTCCTGGAAGTGTGGCAGGGAGCAAAATCCTGCTGGAAAATGGCTTCTCCATCACTAAAGTCTCTATCCATTATGGAAAGCAAATGAAGTGCCAGATGGTCTTGTATTTGTCACTGTTCATCGTTCCCTCAGCAATAAGAAGCCATCCAGGGACTTTAACAGTAAAAGTACCCCAAAACATCTTAAGTGGGTGTTTTGGCCTTTGTTGAATGTGTTCATTCCGAAAAGGTTCGCTTTTGATCTGTTTCACTACCACTGATCTGTACCCATGTACTTCACAATGCACCTCATCTGAAAATGTAAGTTTTTCCATTCATCTGTCGCCCATCCCTTATAATCGAGTGTCCAACACAGCCGTTTTATCTTAATAACAACAGTCAATAATTGTTCCTCGACTGGCTTTCTGGCAGTTCTGTTCATTGAACATTTACGTCAGCTGAAGCCAAATCTCTTTGTAGATCTTTGCTGGGTTTATTGGGATCCTTCATATTATTTCTCATGATAACCTTGTTATTGTGAGGTTTTGTCTTGCATTTTCTTCCAGATCTTTCTTGACGCAGCACTCCACAGTCACCAGTGCCATCGGCTCTCTTCAGAATCCTACCAACAGTTGACTTTGCTAGGCTCAAATTTTCAGTTATCTGTCTGCTACTCAAATTGGCATGTATTCTAAGAGCTACAATATTTATATGCTTCCTAGGTGTAACATCCTTCACAAATTTCAGCAGTAATCACGAACTGAAAGGAAGAATTTGGCAAAAATACATTCACTCATGGAGCATGCTTGCAGGAATGGCCTTACAGAACAGCTGACAAGAGTCGCAGGGTAACACCACAACTTTATGGATGCAGGAAATCGGTAGCAAACTCTTATGAAAAGAACCCAAACTACACCGATTAAGATGGAGTCTAAGATATATGTGATAATCACAAAATTTACTGTCCCAATTAATTTGTACATTACTGTATGTTGACAAAACCTTTCTCTAGAAACATACCCTAAATGGTCAGGCCACTTAACTTTTCATACATATCCCCCCCCCCTCTCTCTCTCTCAACCTTTGTACCACTGTATCCTTCCCCAGTTCTTTCTGCCCAGCTCTTAACATTTCTCCAGTTGCTTAATAAAATAAAAGACAGAATGTATTTTTTTTGCTGTGCAATTCAGGAAAAGCATTACAGTACTGTACTGCATGACCCCAGCTTCCTTCCTGTATGTCAATGCATGCGAAATGAAAAGTGTAAAATGTGGTACAGGTTTCTAATTCAGTTAAATATTAGTGTACTAGATTTCAAACAACTTACAAAAGATATAAGTTATCACTTGGAAACTATACCAATTTCATTAAAAACAGCAAATTAAGACATATATAGGCCAAAAGTAATTCAAATCATCTGCTAAGAAACACTAGTATTGAAATCCAACTGAAGAGGCTTACTTTTGTTATCTCAGAGGACCAAATTTCCTATAAAATACCAGCAAATTAGGTTTGAAGCCTCATATAATTTGAGCTATCAAGTTATCAGCTATGAATGGTGAGGGTAAATGAATAAGGCATCAGAAATTATCACATGAAAGCCAGTATGTCTTTTTTTCAGTTTCATCTATAGAAAAAAAAGTGATTTACCTGGAGTTTACCTGGAGAGAGTTCCGGGGGTCAACGCCCCCGCGGCCCGGTCTGTGACCAGGCCTCCTGGTGGATCAGAGCCTGATCAACCAGGCTGTTGCTGCTGGCTGCACGCAAACCAACGTACGAGCCACAGCCCGGCTGATCAGGAACCGACTTTAGGTGCTTGTCCAGTGCCAGCTTGAAGACTGCCAGGGGTCTGTTGGTAATCCCCCTTATGTATGCTGGGAGGCAGTTGAACAGTCTCGGGCCCCTGACACTTATTGTATGGTCTCTTAACGTGCTAGTGACACCCCTGCTTTTCATTGGGGGGATGGTGCATCGTCTGCCAAGTCTTTTGCTTTCGTAGTGAGTGATTTTCGTGTGCAAGTTCGGTACTAGTCCCTCTAGGATTTTCCAGGTGTATATAATCATGTATCTCTCCCTCCTGCGTTCCAGGGAGTACAGGTTTAGAAACCTCAAGTGCTCCCAGTAATTGAGGTGTTTTATCTCCGTTATGTGCGCCGTGAAAGTTCTCTGTACATTTTCTAGGTCGGCAATTTCACCTGCCTTGAA